TTCTTCAGTGAAAAGTAAAATAAGGAAAATACCGAACTCCGAGGAAAATTCAAAACGGAAATCCCTTATCAAATAGCAAAATTAAAAGCTCAAACACATCAAACGAACGGAAAACATCTGCCATATTCCTCACTTGGTACAGGCATTTTCTTATGTAGAAAATGGTGGATTAAACCTGGTTTTATAGCTAGCTAAACCTCTCACTTGTATGACAGTCGCATTTAATTCCAATATAATGATAACAATGTGTGAACAAATCAAACATACATAATAGGTAAAAATGTCAAAAATAGGGGTACAGTGGAATAGTGAGAAATTCCAAATAATAATAATGATGTTTGCATATAAAACAATATTATTTTAGGCTTTGTCTACTGAAACAAAAATATTTTTGTTGTGAAGAGAGAATAAGGCATCCGCAACCTTGGGATTCTTGTGCTCATTGTTCATCGTAAATTTTGAATGAGCTTCTGAAAGCATGACAGAACAGCTTTGGTCCATTCAGATAAAGTGTCCCGTGACGATTCAACTGACTCGCGTTTTTTTTCTCCATTTTCTGGCATAGTCCTATACTGCATTCATTAGTAACCTGAAGTTCTTTTTGCAATTGATGGGCTGGAGAATTCGATACTTCGGGCCTTTTGCTCACAACTCTCCAAGTTGTTCATAGTTGACGATGCCAAGGTCTTCAGTTATAACATGATCAGCAGGACTATATTTAGATGGGCACGATGCACAAGAGCATTCGGGAGGTTTGGATTTTACATAACTGATGATAATGTTCTCTGATACCGTCTTGTGGTTGTAAATCTTGGAAGCAATAGGTTTGGTGTAGGTATATGAAATGACAGATGTAGTTTTATCTTTGAGAGCACAATATTTCGTCATATATTTGTCAAAACATGCTTTATCATATCCAAATAGCGTGCATTCACAATACGTTAAATGTCAAAAAGATAACCTTCTGTTATAAAAAGCTTGTACCTCGGTTTGTCCAGTTATGTCTTGAATTTACTGAAGATGAAGGTTATCTGTTTACTAGGAATATTGTCGGTGCTGTGTGGACTTAATAAGTCAGAAAAATGTGTCTGTCTTCATTGGGAAAATGATCCAGGTAAGACTGTGCAAGATTTATATATCTATTTTCACGGCAAAATAAATTAAATCATAGTTTCAACGTTCTGAAGATTTTTTTTTCTGTAACATTTTGTAGATCAATGTTTTAAAATATTCAACGGATGTTTTATTTTTATAGAATCAACGTGCCTTGAGATACACTTTTTCGAAGGGTTAATAAAACAGAATGTCAGTGTAAGTATTATTTTTTGTCTTTAAAGTGGAATAGAATAGTCTACTCTATAATGAATAGCCAATCCATGGAATAGAATAGTCTACTAGTACTCTATAATGGATAGCCAATCCATGGAATAGAATAGTCTACTCTATAATGGATAGCCAATCCATGGAATAGAATAGTCTACTCTATAATGAATAGCCAATCCATGGAATACAATAGTCTACTCTGTAATGAAAAGCCAATCCATGGAATAGAATAGTCTACTCTATAATGAATAGCCAATCCATGGAATAGAATAGTCTACTCTGTAATGAATAACCAATCCAAATGTTCGATTTTTAAGGCAAACCCGAATGTCGAGAAAATGAAATAAAAGATACGAGTTTAGATTCGAAACACAGAGGCATCTTACTGGTATTCAGTAGCAAATATCCGAACTGCAATAGTCATTGTCATTTACATTACACACTATCAATAGGATATGTGCTCCCGATTGCTATTAAAAACAAATTGTTTTGCTATTGTGTATAGCAGATTTCGATCTGTTACATTTTGCATCTTCTGTACCGATAACCGGTAAAAGGGTGTGACATCTGTACCGATAGCCGTTAATAGGGTGTGACATCTGTACCGATAGCCTGTAATAAGGTGCGACATTAAATATAGAAAATTTGAAGAAGATTCTTTGAAGTAATCTTCATTCTTTCAGAACAACTTTAAGTTCAGTACTGTTAGGCTTATAGTTTAGTCAGATCTATTTAGTAAATATACTTTACTTGTGCTCACATTTAGTAAAATCAGAGACATATATATCTCTGGTGAAATACACGAAAAGTGACTGTCCATATTTAGAACGCCTACTATACCAAAGGCATGATTATTGTCGAAAAAATTATTGACAGAATTTATAATTTCAACGTGACTTACTGCTGTTATTTTTGGTTGCCTTAGTACATCCTTTTACTATGATCAACAAATATTTCATTGTATTCTCTTTGTAGAGGTAACATCAAAATTGTTTTCCCTATTCGCCGTAGTCCAAAAAATGAGCACTATCTACCTTTGAAATACTTGGCATGAATAAAATGTTATCCTGTCCAGTACTTTTGTGAAAATTTCGCAAAATTTGATCATTGTATATAAAAAAGTAAACCTCCTTGGTAGAAAACATTTCAATTTTTCAATTTTGGGAGTTTGCAACCTTTAGCACCTAGGTCACCGCATGTTTAAAAAATATTTTATCGGAACAACAAATGAAAAAAGAAAGGTGTCTTAAGACTGATGCAAAATAATCGAGACGGTACCCTAAAGTAATGGCTTGGTGAAACTTTGTTATGTCTACTATACACGCATTTACTAGTTTTAAAACATTGCATTCGTAAATTCTCTAACTGTAATGCATGACAAATTTAAAATGAGGTTTTGCTCAAGATAATGTTTAACTATATAATTTTTTTTCTCCAGATTTCAACTCTTAATATTTCACTCATTACCATCGAGGAAAAACAGATATGTAGAAGTAAGTTTCTTACAAGTTAATCTCTCTTCCTCTCAGAAACTTAAACAGATTTTACATCCATGTTTGTTTGACGTATTATCTTTCCGACAACATCGGTATATATGTACTACATTCAAATACAGCACTATCACCGTCATTCCAAATCATAATAAACTACAGGTATGCTTTGTTTAGAACATTGGTATATAAGTACTACATTCAAATACAGCACTATCATCGTCATTCCAAATCATAATAAACTACAGGTATGCTTTGTTTAGAACATTGGTATATAAGTAGTACATTCAAATACAGCACTATCACCGTCATTCCAAATCATAATAAACTACAGGTATGCTTTGTGTAGAACATTGGTATATTAGTTCTATATACAGCACTAGTGCCACTATACCCACTCATAATTAACGACAGGAATGCTGGGTTTAAAAGCTTTTAACTAACACAGTGACTGAATGCTCAAGAATAATTATAATATGCGTACACTACTATTACATTCCTTCAGTCTACAGTTATCAAAACTGTACTAACAAATCTAATTCGTTAAATGCAAGATGAGTTTAATCTTGGGTTGATTTTTCCCCATTTCTTAGTAACGACTGGTGCAGTAATTAAGATTCCAAATAAAAGCAACAGTAGTTTACCGCTGTTCAATAGTCATAAATCGATTAAGCGAAAACAAATCCGGGTCACAAACCAAAACCGAGGGAATCACATCAACTATAAGAGGAAAACAACGGTACAACAGAAACACTGAACTGCTACAACAAACGCCAACATACATAGAAATGGACTATTTGATAACAACTGCAATATTCCTGACTTGGTACAGGACATTTTTAAGAAAAAATGGTGGGTTGAACCTGGTTTTATGGCTAGCCAAACCTCCCGCTTATATGGCAATGTTAAAAATACCGCTAAAATGACAACATTACGTGACAGGAATACAGTACAAATAAACGCAAGAACACTCAAGACAGAGAAATACATAAATAAATAATATAATAGTACATTACAACATGTAAACCACAGAATAACAACGGACACCACCCATTAATTTACGACGACCACAATAGAAATTATGATCTGTGCGTCACATGAATGTATCAACGCCACAAAAAGTGATGTCACAAGTAAACTTCTTAAAACAGAATATAAAATTGGGATTAAGTTTGTAATGGTGTTGTTTTATGTATTTTCTAACCATTACAAGAATATTAATATTAGGGATGTCAACGAGTACTCGAGTACTCGAGTATCGCTCGGTAGTACCGAGTATCGAATACCAAAATGATACTCGACTAATCGGTTTCCTGTAAGAATGTTGTTGCCTTCTTAAAGAAATAATATTTAAATTTTATTAAGAGCACCTCCCGGGAAATTAAATATTAATCATAGTTAATCAAAATTAAAATACGTTTCGAATGTTTGCGTTTAATTGTCATTTAAAAATCCTCCAAACATAGGTGGACTATGAACAAGAACACCTTTCCAAGACTGACACTTTTAGCGTAGCGTGTCTTAGTCATTAAACTACCTCTGTACAGTCAGAGCAAATATTTTCATCAACAGGACTGTTAGTTACGTAACAAAGTTGAGAATCGACTAGTCACAGAAAAAGCTGACAAGATAATATTACTTAATAAGAACAATTTCGTTGCACCCTGTGTCGACCCTCAAAAAATGGTTAAAGGCATCAGTAAGTTCTAATCATCACCCTTTGCTGATCATTAAATGTGTTTTTTAAGGATTCCCAATTACTATTGTTTGAGTAATCTTTTTTTTCTATAGATGTTTATTAATTAATTGATTAGATCATTGCCAGCTTACATAGTTAGTATATGGTATAAATGTCCTAGAACTATTATCTAGTCCTGGGTAATAATGTTGAGGGATTACGTCCATAAGACAACGTCCCACAATACGTAAAATGGGTATAATTTTGTGTTTCCATTTTGTAGATGTTTTTCCGAGCGAGTACTCGAGTATCGCTCGGTAAATCCAACGAGTACTCGATTAGTAAATCTTCACCGAGTTGACATCCCTAATTAATATAGAATTGTGTTAGTAATGGTGTAATTATTTGTATTTTCTAACCATGTCGGTTTTTCTTCTAAATCAAAACTGTGTAAAAACAAATAAATCCTGTGCAAACGTCACCTGGAAAGAACAAAAAAAATAGATGACATGCAGACCAATTCAGTAAAGACAAGTGTAGAATCAAAGCAGAAGTTTCTCAATACGAAACAATTGCACTGTAAGTATCAAAAGTATCTCCCTGATTATGTTCGAATTATTTATCAGATATTACGGAAGAAGAAAGAAAGCTAGGAGGGAGCATTGATATAACAACAAATCCAGACGGAAGTCATACGTATGGTGGCAGCATAGATACACCGTTTGGAGGGGTAAGTGGCCATGTCCATACTTCTCCAGATGGTCATATAACAGGTGGAGATGGTGGGGTATCTGCAGGGGTAGGCGGACTTGGTTCTGTAGGAGTACACGGTAGTTACGATAAGGGTAAAGGTGTCAGTGGAGGTGTTCATGGTAGTGTTGGTGTTCCCGGAGCAGAAGTGGGAGGTTCTGTGGATGTTAATTCACATGGGACTGTTTCTGTAGGTGGCAGTGCAACTGCAGGTGGATCTACGTTAAGTGGTAGCGTTAATTCCAAAGGGGAAACTGATTCCAGCTTGACTCAATCAGTTCCATTTGGAAAACGAGACGGTAAGATTACACCAAAAAATTAAAAACAAATTGTTTCATAGAAAACGTGTTTTATAAAGACATACCGGTAACTAGACAGTTCATGATGAGACCCTTACTTGCGACAGTCACATTAACATGACAGGTTTAAATTAATTTAAGAGTACTAGACTTTTTTCTACAGAAGATTAATATTTAGCAAAAATTAAAAAAAAATAAAAAAATGAGCGAAAATCTAGTTTTGTTAATAAATTTGCATGATATAAAGAAACCAGACAATTTTATTTCGATGGTTGTCCATATGGTTATATTTGCTGCCTTTATACTATTCAGAGTTGACATATCAATAACGATATTTACAGTTGAGGTTGGAGAAGAAATTGTGAATGATGAATCCGAAGAATTGAACATGATTGTCAGTAACCAACATACTAATGGCGGCAAATCCGGTGGTGTTTTAATAACAATACTTATTCCACAAAGGAGTAGGATACAACAGCCAAAGATTACCTATCTTTAATTCTACATGACACTTCAAGCCACAGAAACTTTATTCTGGATTTTATGCCTTTAAGTCAGGGCTCAATGATTATCTAGACTGGTGTAATATTGCGGGTTTAGAAACATATTTTGTTCATTATTACATAAAGTTAATAAATTCATAGATTCCATAATGTTCTTTTGTACTTGATCCTTTTAAAATAAATGTTGCCTGAAGCGTCCCATTGTGGTTCTGTCCAATACCTTTAGTTGATAAGAAAGTAAATTTTTGTAGCCTGTAGCATTTTTGTAGCATTTTTGCGCCTGTCCCAAGTCAGGATCCTCTAGCCTTTGTTAGTCTTGTATTATTTTTAATTTTAGTTTCTTGTGTACAATTTGGAGTTTAGTATGGCGTTCATTATCACTGAACTAGTATATATATTTGTTTAGGGGCCAGCTGAAGGACGCCTCCGGGTGCGGGAATTTCTCGCTGCATTGAAGACCTGTTGGTGGCCTTCTGCTGTTGTCTGTTCTGTGGTCGGGTTGTTGTCTCTTTGACACATTCCCCATTTCCATTCTCAATTTTAGATAGATGGTGAATTTTTCATTGCATTTCATGTGTAATTACACCTTATGTAAGAATCCTGAGTTTTGATTGGTTGATAGCCAGTGTATTTTTCACCAATTTACTGTTATCAAATGAATATCGTTCATTTTTTAACGCCGCCGGGGTATATGCAAAAAGGATATGCCTTTTTTACCCTCTCTGCCGTGGAATTTGCCAAAAAATACTCTATCAGACTGGATGCTTGTAACGTCACGATCATCAATGCGTTTTTGAACGTTAACATTCGGTGTAATTAAACATTGGGTCAATGTCAAGAAATAATCATTGTCCATGATCTATCATATATGTAACCCTTAACTTTTGGTTAACCTGTTAACGCCACCACCACCATTATTGTAACAGTAACACTCATGAACATTTTACCTTTATCTCTACAATGAACTCACAAACAGGTGTATAGCTATTTAGCAAAATATTTGTCTGACTGTTCATATTTTGTTATAACCATAAAAATATCCTCCCCAAAAACTTCTTAGGGAGAGAGAGACAGAGAGCATAATCATTAACTTAATTAATAATCCATAAAATACTCATAGAGCACATTGCCCTGTTTTTTTCAGCCAAAATACTCTTAATATTTTGAGTAAATAAACAATGAAATTAGGATGGTATGCAATTATTTTATTCAGCAATCATGCAGTTAAACATGTTAAAGTGCTATATTCTCGTACTTTCAATCTAAAACACATCAAAGCAGCTGAGACTCACAAGAATTCTGGGATTTTTCTTGACCTGTGTTTCCTACTTGCATCATATTAGGCATCAAAACTATTATATAATTTAGGCATATCATCTGATGAAAGGGCTTTCTTGACTAACATACCTATATAAAGTCTTATAAAAGTAGATGAAATAAAAGTTTTTGATAAAGTCTAGCGTAGCACAGGTGTCAATTATATTTGTGTTATATAAAATTCTGATGAAATTTTAGAAAAACTGATTTCTTTTGAACATGTAGCTAGCTCTGTTGACATTTATGATTTTACTTTTACTTGTTCTTGTGTAATCTAATATACTGGTATTAAAGAGTTAAGTGCCTGTCCTGTGTTGACTGTTAGTATCTTTCTTACTGTACCTTTGATCATTTCACTAATTAAGATGGGGACCAGGGAGGATTGAGTTCCCAAGAACGTGTTTAACCCAATCCCATGTGCCTAACCCAAGTCAGGAACCTTATCAGTGGTCTGTTTTGTAACATCTTGATGTTCTTGTCGCTTAGGGAACTTGGGAAGATAACAGATATATGAAATTTATTCATATTTGTCTGTTGTTGAAGAGTGCTGAAGTTCTTCCCAAATTTTGTATGTTCTGTGCTAAAGAAGTCAACTCTTATTGCCAATCTTCCACAGGCAGTCCAAAAACTTTCATTAAACTTATTATTCAAAACTAACACTGTTCATATATCTCTTTCTTTAAATATGACCTTTCTACTACCATCTCACAGATAAGTTATAATTGAAACTTAGAATGACCAGCTGACAGTGCTTTCTCTGCTAAAGATACTCTCTCTACCAATAACTTATTCTGATCTTGTTTAGACTTTTTCCCAACGAGAAAATGTCTCATAAATAATTTAAGTCCTTCATGCAAAAGATGTAATTTTGTCAATGGTGCAATTCTAGAGAAGACTTCTTGCATCACATGGTCAGCATGATCCAACAGAATTTCTTGTAACACTTGCTTTAGGAATCTCACCATGTTCTTGTCCAAAGTTCCAAACTCTACAACCTGTAATAAGACAACAGATATTATTTATATCAGGGTACATATTATTGGTTCTCACCTAAAAATTGTTCTAATTTATCAATTTCTCAATTTTCTTTTTTGCAAAAACAATTTTCAATGAAGAAAACTTTATTGACAAAAAGTGCATGTGGCTGAATCCTGTCACTCGAAGAAGGGAAGGGTGAATACTATAGTAATAAAGGTCATTTTGGATGGGTTTATTGAATGTGAATACTTAGCTGACTCAATCCAAAACTGAATAAAAGTCTTAAGATTCTTTCTGTCAAATGAGTGAAAGGTCAAGTTTACACATCAAAAAACTTTGATAGTTAAAATAACATTTAGTTTAGAAGAACATGATTTATTTATTAGTTGTTATTGGCTTTGAACTAGACTTAATTAACTGGGAGTACTCTCAGATCATTGCTATGTGTATTTTGTTTTTTATGCTACTGTAGTTGTTTTTGTGCTTCAGGCAAATCTGATGAGTAAGGCCGTTTTCAAATGATTTTTTCAGTTTGTTCTGATGTGCTGTTACACCAATGTCCAAGGTTAGGGGACAGTTCAGCCTTCACAAACATGTTCAACCATTTGCCTGCCACATGTAATACCAATGTCCAAGGTTAGGAGGACAGTTAAGCCTTCACAAACATGTTCAACCCTTTCCCTGCAACATTTTATACAAATATCCAAGGTTAGGGGGACAGTTAAACCTTCACAAACATGTACAACCCTTTCCCTGCCACATTTTACACCAATGTCCAAGGTTAGGGGGACAGTTCAGCCTTCAAAAACATGTTCAACCCTTTCCCTGTCACATTTTACACCAATGTCAAAGGTTAGGGGAACAGTCCAGCCTTCACAAACATGTTCAACCCTTTCCCTGCCACATTTTACACCAATGTCTAAGGTTAGGGGGGCAGTTAAGCCTTCACAAACATGTACAACCCTTTCCCTGCCACATTTTACACCAATGTCCATGATTAGGGGGACAGTTAAGCCTTCACAAACATGTACAACCCTTTCCCTGCCACATTTTACACCAATGTCCAATGTTAGGGGGACAGTTAAGCCTTCACAAACATGTACAACCCTTTCCCTGCCACATTTTACACCAATGTCCAAGGTTAGGGGGACAGTTAAGCCTTCACAAACATGTTCAACCCTTTCCCTGCCACATTTTACACCAATGTCCAAGGTTAGGGGGACAGTTCAGCCTTCACAAACATGTTCAACCCTTTTCCTGCCACATTTTACACCAATGTCCAAGGTTAGGGGGACAGTTCAGCCTTCACAAACATGTTCAACCCTTTCCCTGCCACATTTTACACCAATGTCTAAGGTTAGGGGGACAGTTAAGCCTTCACAAACATGTTCAACCCTTTCCCTGCCACATTTTACACCAATGTCCAAGGTTAGGGGGACAGTTCAGCCTTCAAAAACATGTTCAACCCTTTCCCTGTCACATTTTACACCAATGTCCAAGGTTAGGGGGACAGTTCAGCCTTCACAAACATGTTCAACCCTTTCCCTGCCATATTTTACGCCAATGTCCAAGGTTAGGGGGACAGTTAAGCCTTCACAAACATGTACAACCCTTTCCCTGCCACATTTTACACCAATGTCCAAGGTTAGGGGGACAGTTCAGCCTTCACAAACATGTTCAACCCTTTCCCTGCCATATTTTACACCAATGTCCAAGTTTAGGGGGACAGTTTAGCCTTCACAAACATGTTCAACCCTTTCCCTGCCACATTTTTCACCAATGTCCAAGGTTAAGGGGACAGTTCAGCCTTCACAAACATGTTCAACCCTTTCCCTGCCACATTTTTCACCAATGTCCAAGGTTAGGGGGACAGTTAAGCCTTCACAAACATGTTCAACCCTTTTCCTGCCACATTTTTCACCAATGTCCAAGGTTAAGGGGACAGTAAAGCCTTCACAAACATGTACAACCCTTTCCTTGCCACATTTTACACCAATGTCTAAGGTTAGGGGGACAGTTAAGCCTTCACAAACATGTTCAACCCTTTCCCTGCCACATTTTACACCAATGTCTAAGGTTAGGGGGACAGTTAAGCCTTCACAAACATGTACAACCCTTTCCCTGCCACATTTTACACAAATGTCCAAGGTTAGGGGGACAGTTAAGCCTTCACAAACATGTTCAACCCTTTCCCTGCCACATTTTATATGTGTCTCTCTCAAGTCAGGAGCCATTCATTGGATTTCATTGGTTACTGCTGTCTGTCATATATGTTTTTCCTATGTTTTGTCATTAACTAGGTTGTTGTTTCATCTGTCATATGGTGGCCTTTTACAGCTGACTATACAATATGGGATTTGCTTGTTGTTAAAGGTGGTACAGTGACCTATAGTTGCTTAAATCCCCTTCATTTTTCAAGATAATATCTCAAAATATCAAAGGCTCATTATAATCATCATCTAAAAGCAATTACTCATTTAAGAAGTCAATTTATGGCCAAAATTAAATCAACCTTTTTATAGATGTTGTATCTTTTAGTGATTATAGTTTCTGTCAGTCTATTATTCTATTCAATATTATAGACAAAAATTTTCAAGTAATCTATATTTAGTGACAATACCTCCTATAAGTAGTCAGTTGATGGTTTCAGCCATAATTGCTTTTTTGTAAATCTTGTATTGCTGATTATTTTTTCAAATAACATTTTCTGTTTATCTCATATTAATTTCAAGACACAAATTTTTTTATTAAAGGGCAATAACTATATGGTGTCAATTAATGGCTTCAGTCATGTAGCCATTTTTATAGATCTTGTACTGTTCAGTTGATATTTTTGTGTTAACAATTTCTATTACAGTTTGCAATATAACATTTAAAAACACTAAATTTTATAAAAAATCGTAAGGGGTTCCGTGGAACCCTGTGTCTTGCCTGCGATTGCTGCTGTCAATGTTGACTTAAAAAGTGAGTCCATTTATCAGTAAAATACAGAATTTAAAAGAAAAATTCAAACTTTTTCTTTAGATGCTATTTCTTGGTCTTGAAGATTAGCTTCTGTCCAAGTTTCATGACAATCCTTGAAGGTTTACAAATTTAGCATGTAAAAACATATTAAACCTTTAGCGAAAAAAAAAAGATAACACATTAAAGGATTGGTGCTGACTTTATAATGTACATAGGGTATATGTTTTTGTACATTTTTCATAGGGTATATGTTTTTGTACATTTTTAAAATGTTAACAAACTTACCTTGAAAACACTGAGTGATATGGACTTTGTAACCATGAGATGTACCACAATTTTCCCTAAATTATTTCGACTCTGTTCAGATTGGTGACTCATTTCTTTAAATTTGTCCCACATCATGAATTGAAATGTCATCTGAAAATGTTATAATTATTTAACTTCTAGTATTTTTTAAAAAGCTATTCAGAACAAAGAATGATATTTTGTTAGTCTATATTTTCTCAAATCATTTCAAAATAAACTACATGTATTTGATTTCAACTTTATAAACTGATAACTTGAATACTGCAAAATACCCCTAAAAACAAAGATGTTAAAAATAAGTATAACAGCAATATATCATATAAAAAATCCAAGGCATATAGGTTAATGTATTTAGAAAATGATGGGCATAGATAAAATGACTGAAATGGTGATAGCTTTCTCTAGCAGGAGTTATTTCCAATGCCTGAAATTACCCATTTTCCTTATAATCACCAATACCAGTCTTTTATCACATGGACTACTTCCCTTGACTGTAATAGCCTGTCAGAATCACAGAATTGTTTGCAGACAAAATGAACAATGTACATCTAATGAATTTTCGAGCAGAAAGTGGTCTTTTATCACAGGGTTTATCATCCTTACCTGAAATCTCCTGTCATATTCACAGAACTTTTGTAGAAGATAAGCATAAAATTGATTATATGATTTTTCCTGGAGACAGCAGTCTGTTATTACATGGATTAACTCCCTTTCTTGTTGATTTTTCAGACCAAGTCTTAAAAGTTTCTCAAAAGCATCAATATAGTCCTGAAAATACAAAATTAATACTGTACATTTAAAACATTAATTCACCTATGTTTTTTTATAAGAGTTCATGTTGCTCAATATTTAGTTGTCTGTGCAGTGTTTTCTGGACTATTGTTTGTCTGTGCAGTGTTTTCTGGACTATTGTTTGTCTGTGCAGTGTTTTCTGGACTATTGTTTGTCTGTGTAGTATTTTCTGGACTACTGTTTGTCTGTGCAGTGTTTTCTGGACTATTGTTTGTCTGTGCAGTGTTTTCTGGACTATTGTTTATCTGTGCAGTGTTTTCTGGACTATTGTTTGTCTGTGCAGTGTTTTCTGGACTACTGTTTGTCTGTTAGTTTTTTTTTATTGACAATTTTGCTCGTCTGTATTTCTTTGACTCATGATTTCTTATAGACTCTTGGATCTACTTTTTTCAAAAACATCCATGTACTGTTTTGTGTGCCAAAACCATAATGACAGACAGGTATACATGTATATATTTACATTACTGTTCATTGGACTGAACAATAATTTGCATTCATTGTTTTCCACATACTGTTTATTTTTTTCTTCTGAGGTTTGTGAGGTAATGGAAGGAGATAATATAGTATTACAAAACTGTGTCTAAGGTCTGAAGTACTTTTCCCTATCCTAGTACTAGTGTTACTACCTACTCCATAGAAGGGAGGAGGGGTGGTATTGTACCAATATTTCCATCTCTTGTCATTATAGAACAGAAGAAACTTTTCCCTATTCCAGTATTACTATCTTCTCCATGTGTTGAAGTTTGACTGAGGACCATAGAAAAAGGTAGGAGGAATGATATGATACCAGTATTTACCTCACTTGTCATTATAGAACAGAAGATACTTTTCCTTATGCCAGTGTTCATTCTCTGTTTTCTGGCTAATTCTAATATTTTATCACTGGCTTCTCCAAGTATTGTTGTTTGAACTGTTTGTCTAACATCTGAAACAGAAAAATCATTTTTACACCTTTTAATATTCTAAATTAAAACATTGAAGGAAATAAAATCTATTTTTTTTTTATTTGATTTGCATTTAACTGATACCTTTTTCTGGAAAAGGAAATAAACATTGTATAAAAAATAATAAACAATAGTATCATCAAATATTCAAATATTTACAACATTCAAGTTAAATCTATAAAGGAATACATTATTTTTTCTGCAGTACCAGGATGGCTTATTTATTAGCTATCTGTTATTATTTTCAAGACAACAAGTAAAAACAAAAAAGTTAGATAAAAAAAATTTTCATTGAAGTGCAAAAACTTCTAGATGGCTTCAATTGATGCTTTCAGTCTAATTGCCTTTTTTGTAGATTATGTACTGCTGATCATTTTTGCTGTTTACAGTTTCTGTATATCTATTATATGTGTCATGATAATAAGCAAAACCATATTAATTAGTAAAATATTTTAATTTATGGACAAAAAGTTTTATATAGCTGTAAAGGAGTCATCTGATAATTTTTGTGGAAATCACTCACTTGAAATGTGAAAATGGTAGATCCTGACATTATGAGGACTTTTTCTAAGTAAGAATTTATCTGATCTTCCTTCCCATGCTGACCCTATGACCCACCAGTGACCTTTCTCCACATACCTTCACGTTTATCTGATCTTCCTTCCTATGCTGACCCTATGACCCACCAGTGACCTTTCTCCACATACCTTCACGTTTATCTGATCTTCCTTCCTATGCTGACCCTATGACCCACCAGTGACCTTTCTCCACATAACTTCATGTTTATCTGATCTTTCTTCCCATGCTGATCCTATGACCCACCAGTGACCTTTCTCCACATACCTTCACGTTTATCTGATCTTCCTTCCCATGCTGATCCTATGACCCACCAGTGACCTTTCTCCACATACCTTCACGTTTATCTGATCTTCCTTCCTATGCTGACCCTATGACCCACCAGTGACCTTTCTCCACATAACTTCATGTTTATCTGATCTTCCTTCCCATGCTGACCCTATGACCCACCAGAGACCTTTCTCCACATACCTTCATGTTTATCTGATCTTTCTTCCCATGCTGACCTTAAGACCCACCAGAAACCTTTCTCCACATACCTTCATGTTTATCTGAATTTCCTTCCTATGCTGACCCTATGACCCACCAGTGACCTTTCTCCACATACCTTCATGTTTATCTGATCTTCCTTCCCATGCTGACCCTATGACCAACCAGAGACCTATCTCCACATACCTTCACGTTAATCTGATCTTCCTTTCCATTTTGACCCAATGACCCACCAGTGACCTTTCTCCACATACCTTCATGTTAATCTGATCTTCCTCCACATGCCGACCCTATGACCCACCAGAGACCTTTCTCCACATACCTTCATTTTTATCTGATCTTCCTTCCCATGCTGACCTTATGACCCACCAAAAACCTTTCTCCACATACCTTCATGTTTATCTGATCTTCCTTCCCATGCTGACCCACCAGTGACCTTTCTCCACATACCTTCACGTTTATCTGAATTTCCTTCCTATGCTGACCCCATGACCCACCAGTGACCTTTCTCCACATACCTTCATGTTTATCTGATCTTCCTTCCCATGCTGACCCTATGACCAACCAGAGACCTATTTCCACATACCTTCACGTTAATCTGATCTTCCTTTCCATTTTGACCCAATGACCCACCAGTGACCTTTCTCCACATACCTTCATGTTTATCTGATCTTCCTTCCCATGCTGACCCTATGACCAACCAGAGACCTATTTCCACATACCTTCACGTTAATCTGATCTTCCTTTCCATTTTGACCCTATGACCCACCAGAAACCTTTCTCCACAAACCTTCATGTTTATCTGATCTTCCTTCCCATGCTGACCCACCAGTGACCTTTCTCCACATACCTTCATGTTAATCTGATCTTCCTCCCCATGCCGACCCTATGACCCACCAGAGACCTTTCTCCACATACCTTCATTTTTATCTGATCTTCCTTCCCATGCTGACCTTATGACCCACCAGAAACCTTTCTCCACATACCTTCATGTTAATCTGATCTTCCTTCCCATGCTGACCCACCAGTGACCTTTCTCCACATACCTTCATGTTTATCTGATCTTCCTTCCCATGCTGACCCTATGACCCACCAGTGACCTTTCTCCACAAACCTTCATGTTTATCTGATCTTCCTTCCCATGCTGATACTATGACCCACCAGTGACCTTTCTCCACATACCTTCATGTAAATCTGATCTTCCGTCCCATGCTGATCCTACAATTCACTAACCACCTTTCTCCACATACCTTCATGTTTATCTGATCTTCCTTCCCATGCTGATCCTACAATCCACCAGCGACCATTTTCCACGTACCTTCATGTTTATCTGATCTTTCTTCCCATGCTGACCCTATGACCCACCAGTGACCTTTCTCCACAAACCTTCATGTTTATCTGATCTTCCTTCCCATGCTGATCCTACAATCCACCAGCCACCTTTCTCCACAAACCTTCATGTAAATCTGATCTTCCTTCCCATGCTTATCCTACAACCCACCAGCAACCTTTCTCAACATACCTTCACGTTTATCTGATCTTCCTTCCCATGCTGATCTTACAATCCACCAGCCACCTTTCTCCACAAACCTTCATGTAAATCTGATCTTCCTTCCCATGCTTATCCTACAACCCACCAGCAACCTTTCTCAACATACCTTCACGTTTATCTGATCTTCCTTCCCATGCTGATCCTATGACCCACCAGTGACCTTTCTCCACATACCTTCATGTTTATCTGATCTTCCTTCCCATGCTGACCCTATGACCCACCAGTGACCTTTCTCCACATACCTTCATGTTTATCTGATCTTCCTTCCCATGCTGACCCTATGACCCACCAGTGACCTTTCTCCACATACCTTCACGTTTATCTGAATTTCCTTCCTATGCTGACCCTATGACCCACCAGTGACCTTTCTCCACATACCTTCATGTTTATCTAATCTTCCTTCCCATGCTGACCCTATGACCAACCAGAGACCTATCTCCACATACCTCCATGTTAATCTGATCTTCCTTTCCATTTTGACCCAATGACCCACCAGTGACCTTTCTCCACATACCTTCATGTTAATCTGATCTTCCTCCCCATGCCGACCCTATGACCCACCAGAGACCTTTCTCCACATACCTTCATTTTTATCTGATCTTCCTTCCCATGCTGACCTTATGACCCACCAGAAACCTTTCTCCACATACCTTCATGTTTATCTGATCTTCCTTCTCATGCATGCTGATCCTACAACCCACCAGCGACCATTCCACATGTCTTCATGTCTATCTAATCTTCCTTCCCATGCTAATCCTACAACCCACCAGCAACCTTTCTCCACATACCTTCATATTTATCTGATCTTCCTTCCCATGCTGACCCTATGACCCACCAGTGACCTTTCTCCACATACCTTCACGTTTATCTGATCTTCCTTCCTATGCTGACCCTATGACCCACCAGTGACCTTTCTCCACATAACTTCATGTTTATCTGATCTTCCTTCCCATGCTGACCCTATGACCCACCAGTGACCTTTCTCCACATACCTTCACGTTTATCTGATCTTCCTTCCTATGCTGACCCTATGACCCACCAGTGACCTTTCTCCACATAACTTCATTTTTATCTGATCTTCCTTCCCATGCTGACCCTATGACCCACCAGAGACCTTTCTCCACATACCTTCATTTTTATCTGATCTTTCTTCCCATGCTGACCTTAAGACCCACCAGAAACCTTTCTCCACATACCTTCATGTTTATCTGATCTTCCATCACATGCTGATCCTACAACCCACCAGCGACCTTTCTCCACATACCTTCATGTTAATCTGATCTTCCTTCCCATGCTGATCCTATGACCCACCAGCGACCTTTCTCCACAAACCTTCATGTTTATCTGATCTTCCTTCCCATGCTGACCCTACGACCCACCAGTGACCTTTCTCCACAAACCTTCATGTTTATCTGATCTTCCTTCCCATGCTGACCCTATGACCCACCAGTGACCTTTCTCCACAAACCTTCATGTTTATCTGATCTTCCTTCCCATGCTGACCCTATGACCCACCAGTGACCTTTCTCCACATACCTTCACGTTTATCTGATCTTCCTTCCTATGCTGACCCTATGACCCACCAGTGACCTTTCTCCACATAACTTCATTTTTATCTGATCTTCCTTCCCATGCTGACCCTATGACCCACCAGAGACCTTTCTCCACATACCTTCATTTTTATCTGATCTTTCTTCCCATGCTGACCTTAAGACCCACCAGAAACCTTTCTCCACATACCTTCATGTTTATCTGATCTTCCATCACATGCTGATCCTACAACCCACCAGCGACCTTTCTCCACATACCTTCATGTTAATCTGATCTTCCTTCCCATGCTGATCCTATGACCCACCAGCGACCTTTCTCCACATACCTTCATGTTTATCTGATCTTCCTTCCCATGCTGATCCTATGACCCACCAGTGACCTTTCTCCACAAACCTTCATGTTTATCTGATCTTCCTTCCCATGCTGACCCTACGACCCACCAGTGACCTTTCTCCACAAACCTTCATGTTTATCTGATCTTCCTTCCCATGCTGACCCTATGACCCACCAGTGACCTTTCTCCACATACCTTCATGTTTATCTGATCTTCCTTCCCATGCTGATCCTATGACCCACCAGTGACCTTTCTCCACATACCTTCATTTTTATCTGATCTTTCTTCCTATGCTAACCCTATGACCCGCCAGTGACCTTTCTCCACATACCTTCATGTTTATCTGATCTTCCTTCCCATGCTGACCCTACGACCCACCAGTGACCTTTCTCCACATACCTTCATGTTTATCTGATCTTTCTTCCCATGCTAACCCTATGACCCACCAGTGACCTTTCTCCACAAACCTTCATGTTTATCTGATCTTCCTTCCCATGCTGACCCTACGACCCACCAGTGACCTTTCTCCACATACCTTCATGTTTATCTGATCTTTCTTCCCATGCTAACCCTATGACCCACCAGTGACCTTTCTCCACAAACCTTCATGTAAATCTGATCTTCCTTCCCATGCTGACCCTATGACCCACCAGTGACCTTTCTCCACATACCTTCATGTTTATCTGATCTTCCTTCCCATGCTGATCCTACAATCCACCAGCGACCATTTTCCACGTACCTTCATGTTTATCTGATCTTTCTTCCCATGCTGACCCTATGACCCACCAGTGACCTTTCTCCACAAACCTTCATGTTTATCTGATCTTCCGTCCCATGCTGATCCTACAATCCACTAGCCACCTTTCTCCACATACCTTCATGTAAATCTGATCTTCCGTCCCATGCTGATCCTACAATCCACCAGCCACCTTTCTCCACAAACCTTCATGTAAATCTGATCTTCCTTCCCATGCTTATCCTACAACCCACCAGCAACCTTTCTCAACATACCTTCCATGTTTATCTGATCTTCCTTCCCATGCTGATCCTACAATCCACCAGCCACCTTTCTCCACAAACCTTCATGTAAATCTGATCTTCCTTCCCATGCTTATCCTACAACCCACCAGCAACCTTTCTCAACATACCTTCATGTTTATCTGATCTTCCTTCCCATGCTGATCCTATGACCCACAAGTGACCTTTCTCCACAAACCATCATGTAAATCTGATCTTCCTTCCTATGCTGACCCTATGACCCACCAGTGACCTTTCTCCACATAACTTCATTTTTATCTGATCTTCCTTCCCATGCTAACCCTATGACCCACCAGTGACCTTTCTCCACAAACCTTCATGTTTATCTGATCTTCCTTCCTATGCTGACCCTATGACCCACCAGTGACCTTTCTCCACATAACTTCATTTTTATCTGATCTTCCTTCCCATGCTAACCCTATGACCCACCAGTGACCTTTCTCCACAAACCTTCATGTTTATCTGATCTTCCTTCCTATGCTGACCCTATGACCCACCAGTGACCTTTCTCCACATACCTTCATGTTTATCTGATCTCTCCTTCCCATGCTAACCCTATGACCCACCAGCCACCTTTCTCCACATACCTTCATGTTTATCTGATCTCTCCTTCCCATGCTAACCCTATGACCCACCAGCCACCTTTCTCCACATACCTTCATGTTTATCTGATCTTCCTTCCCATGCTGATCCTACGACCCACCAGCGACCTTTGTCCTCTGCATTCATTAAATCCTCTAAGCCTATTCTAAGTTGGTTAGTACCAAGGCTTGCTAAATATAAAGAAATAAAGAATATAGGTTTTTAAATATATGAAATACTGTAGGGAATTTAACATTATCAAATTTATCATTGCAAAAAATCTAGTACATGTACAGATATGGTTGGTCAATTGTAATATTTTTTATGAAAAGGTATGACACCCAATCTTTCAAAACCTCAATGATGGTAAGGGAACCCTTTATTTAATTTCATCCATTGATAGGGTGGGACACTTCAACAGTGATTTTGCCACATAGGTTCCATTAACCAACTTCCTCTAAAACAAAAAGTCTAAATCTTTCCTAGTTTTACCAGAGTGACGATTTAGAAATCATCTACCTAGTATATATATTCAATACATAATATAGCATACTGTGGATTTATTATTATTCGTTGGATACCAATTTTCGTGGATTTCGTGGGTATAGGTGAACCACGGAATTAAATGTTCAACGAATGACAAATTTCCATAGGCTTGTATGCAGACTTCGGCAAAACCACGAAATTAAAAATCTACGAACATATATGTTTTCCTTAATCAACGAAAATTGGTACCAACGAAAATAAATGAATCCACAGTATCTTTTTATATGATTTATGAACTTCAATAGTTTATATAGCTTGGGATCTGGTTTGCGTCAGTAAGGCTCGGCATGGAACAAATGAAGTGAGTTAGTTTCAGTGCTGATCATGACTGAAGTTATATCTCCATGTTATGCAGTATGTAATTATATTTTTACCAGTAATAGATTTTAAAATAAATTTCAAATTAGTTTTCGGCAAATGCGTGGCTATATAAATATTTCCCGCCATGTCAGAAATGATGCGATCCCACAATGCAGCAACCCCGTATCCCACGTTTATACATAATATAGCTTACCTTTTACATGATTTCTCCCCGTATCCCACGTTTATACATAATATAGCTTACTTTTTACATGATTTCTCCCCGTATCCCACGTTTATACATAATATAGCTTACCTTTTACATGATTTCTCCCCGTATCCCACGTTTATACATAATATAGCTTACTTTTTACATGATTTCTCCCCGTATCCCACGTTTATACATAATATAGCTTACTTTTTACATGATTTCTCCCTGTATCCCACGTTTAAACATAATATAGCTTACTTTTTACATGATTTCTCCCTGTATCCCACGTTTATACATAATATAGCTTACTTTTTACATGATTTCTAGCTGATTTTTTCATCTGTTCACATTTCTCTGGGTCATAATTTGGTATTTTTCTCATGTTATTGTTTTTAATGGCAAGCAATACATCTAACATGAACTGGACACGACTTGATTCTGTTTTATCCAATGAACTGGCCTTTCCTTGTATCAATAGTATAATGTCTTTCAGTGTGTGAGGGTCGTCCTTCCTTAAACTGAATCCAACAGCTGAATAAACAAATCAAGCTAATTTTATTTCAATAATCAAACATCATCATTCAGACAATATATAATGGATGTTACATTTAAACATAAACAGCACCAATAAACAAGTCTCCTAAGAGCCTGAATCGCTCAACTGTCAATAATATATATCTTGTACTACTGATTTCTGTGTACAGTTTCTACCCATCTATTATGATTTAATCTAAGGCAAAAACACAAGTGGCCATGTTAATAAATTGGCAGGAACATTAAACACAAACTTTATACTAGAATCCCTAAAGATCATTCAGTTTTAATTTGGTTGAAATTGGTTCAGTAATTCTAAGAGGAGTAGATAATTTTTCTTGGTTTATGGATAGCAATAGCTCACATGGCCCATGTTACAGCTATTTAACTTTTAATTTTATAGGAATTTTAATTAATGTTCAAAAGCAAAATTTTTAAAATAACAATTTTTTAATATTTTTTTAAACGTTATTGCCCTGGAAAAATCTATTTTTTAAAGTAATTTGATTTCTGAAAATTTTTAGTCCAGATATTCTTTACTTTTTAATCTAAATGATTATCAATAGGTAAATTCACTTTCTGAGTAGATGCCAACATCCATCTATATACCTGTTAGACAGTAGCTATCTATATATACAGGTACTTAGTAATATCAATCAGTATATTTAGAAAACTGTATTCCTGTCAGACAGTATCTTTCTATACTTACATTGCAGAACCAGAGATATCAGCACAATCAGAAAACTGTATACTGTAAACCAACTAATTTTCATGAACAACTTATTTTTGCAACTTTCACAAGTAGAAAAGTAATGAAATATAAATCATCATGAATGTGTAAAATGTGTTTTTAACTAATTCCAGTAAATATGAAAATCGTGAAATTATATAGCCACAAAGTGGGCTAAAAAGGGACAAATGCAAAATAAAGTATCCATGAACATAAGTTGTTTACAGTACCTGTCAAACAGTAGCTATCTATACTTATCAGTTCAATCAGAAAACTGCATACTTGTCAGACAACAACTATCTATACTTACATCTCAATACAAGTAATATCAGTACAATCAGAAAACTGTATACCTGTCAGTCATAACTATTTATACTTACATCTCAGTACCAGTAATATAAGTTCAATGTCTTTTTCAGTAAATCTTTCCACAAACTTTCTTATAATATCAAAGATCAGTATACAGTGAATAACCTAAAATTAAACATATTTATTTTTCACATTCTTGTACATGAAAATATTGGATCCACTAATCTATAAACTCTATCATTAACCATTGACTTAAAATACATAATAAATTGTCCATGTGTCTGAGAACTGATCATTAATACAAGTTTAATACTGAAAAAACAGGTAAATACTGACTTTTTACTGGTCATAATACAGGATTTTGACTTCCACGTTTTGGTACAAAAAGGTGTCAGACATGAAAGTGTGTATAACCTGAAATATTAGATTTCAACAAGTTTGATGTTAAAGTTGTTGTTATTTTTCATATGCTGTAATATCTTTTTCTCTGAGTATATGCAATTATGGACAGTAGAAAGGGTGAATATCCAGAATTGTCAACCGTAAAAGATTCTCTGAGGGCGCAGTCCGCAGTTAATAAAGGTGTCATAAAATGGATGTTTTCATATTGATCTTGTATTATGTCCTTGTACAGTTGTATTGGGTTTCAATCAGCTGTATTAGCCCTCGACTATGCCTTGAGCAAATACAACTAACCTCAACCCAATACCACTGTCGAGCCAATACAGCTAACCTCAACCCAATACCACTGTACTTGAACATAATACAGGATTAATATGAAAACACCCATTTAATAACACTATATCATAGTTGTTTTCGTGTTAACAAGAAGTGTGATATCATCAAAACAATATTGTAGACATTTCATTTCCATATCTCTCCACCATGCCTACAAAATCTTCTACTAGCTTACTAGTTAAAATAAGAATACAACAATATTGATAAATAATAACTAATAAATGACACCTACTTTTTCATTGTGTTTTTCTTTTATGACATAGGCAAAAGAAGGTTCTGTGCTTGTAAAACTGGTTTAACTCAATCCTGTGTGTACCTGTACAGAGGCAGGTTATCTGGATCATGCGCTATTCATTGTTGTGTTTATATCTTTCTTCTTAAAGGATAAGTTTGTAGCTGGTTTGTGTGAAGTATTGTACTGTCCATTTGTGTGAACACTTGTACTGTCTGTTTGTGTGAAGTATTATTCTGTCTGTTTGTGTGGACTATTGTATTGTAGGTTAGTGTAAACTATTGTACAGTTGGTTTGTGTGAAGTATTGTACTGTCCATTTGTGTGAACACTTGTACTGTCTGTTTGTGTGAAGTATTATTCTGTCTGTTTGTGTGGACTATTGTCTTGTAGGTTGGTGTAAATTATAATGTACAGTTGGTTTGTGTGAAGTATTGTTCTGTCAGTTTGTGTGAAATATTGTGCAGTCCGTTTGTGTGAACTATTGTACTGTTGGTTTGTGTGAAGTATTATTTTGTCTGTTTGTGTGGACTATTGTATTGTAGGTTTTTGTAAACTATTGTACAGTTGGTTTGTGTGAAGTATTGTTCTGTCAGTTTGTGTGAAATATTGTGCAGTCCGTTTGTGTGAACTATTGTACTGTTGGTTTGTGTGAAGTATTATTCTGTCTGTTTGTGTGGACTATTGTATTGTAGGTTTTTGTAAACTATTGTACAGTTGGTTTGTGTGAAGTATTGTTCTGTCTGTTTGTGTGAATTATTGTACTGTCTGTTTGTGTGAAGTATTATTCTGTCTGTTTGTGTGGACTATTGTATTGTAGGTTAGTGTAAACTATTGTACAGTTGGTTTGTGTGAAGTATTGTTCTGTCAGTTTGTGTGAAATATTGTTCAGTCCGTTTGTGTGAACTATTGTACTGTTGGTTTGTGTTAAGTATTGTTCTGTCTGTTTGTGTGAATTATTGTACTGTCTGTTTGTGTGAAGTATTATTCTGTCTCTTTGTGTGGACTATTGTATTGTAGGTTTGTGTAAGCTATTGTACAGTTGGTTTGTGTGAACTATTGTACTGTTGGTTTGTGTAAAGTATTATTCTGTCGGTTTGTGTGAACACTTTTACTGTCTGTTTGTGTGAAGTATTATAATGTCAGTTTGTGTGAAGTTTTGTTCTGTCAGTTTGTGTGAACACTTGTACTGTCTGTTTGTGTGAAGTAATGTTCTGTCAGTTTGTGTGAAGTATTCTACTGTCAGTTTGTGTGGAGTATTGTACTGTAAGTATGTGTGAAGTATTGTACTGTCAGTTAGTGTGAAGTATTGTTCTGTCAGTTTGTGTGAAGTATTGTTCTGTCAGTTTGTGTGAAGTATTGTTCTGTCAGTTTGTGTGAAGTATTATTCTGTCAGTTTGTGTGAAATATTGTTCAGTCCGTTTGTGTGAACTATATTGTACTGTTGGTTTGTGTTAAGTATTGTTCTGTCTGTTTGTGTGAATTATTGTACTGTCTGTTTGTGTGAAATATTATTCTGTCTGTTTGTGTGGACTATTGTATTGTAGGTTTGTGTGGACTATTGTATTGTAGGTTTGTGTAAACTATTGTACAGTTGGTTTGTGTGAACTATTGTACTGTTGGTTTGTGTTAAGTATTGTTCTGTCTGTTTGTGTGAATTATTGTACTGTCAGTATGTGTAAAGTATTATTCTGTCGGTTTGTGTGAACACTTTTACTGTCTGTTTGTGTGAAGTATTATAATGTCAGTTTGTGTGAAGTTTTGTTCTGTCAGTTTGTGTTAACACTTGTACTGTCTGTTTGTGTGAAGTATTGTTCTGTCAGTTTGTGTGAAGTATTCTACTGTCAGTTTGTGTGAACAATTGTACTGTCGGTTTGTGTGAAGAATTGTACTGTCGGTTTGTGTGAAGTATTGTACTGTTAGTTTGTGTGGAGTATTGTACTGTTAGTATGTGTGAAGTATTGTACTGTCAGTTAGTGTGAAGTACTGTTCTGTCAGTTTGTGTGAAGTATTGTTCTGTCAGTTTGTGTGAAGTATTGTTCTGTCAGTTTGTGTGAAGTATTGTTCTGTCAGTTTGTGTGAACGTTTACACTGTCAATTTGTGTGAACAATTGTACTGCCAGTTTGTGTGAAGTATTGTACTGTTGGTTTGTGTGGAGTATTGTACTGTCAGTATGGATGGGGTATTGTACTGTCAGTATGTGTGGATTATTGTACTGTCTGTTTTTGCGGGAGTATTGTACTGTCTGTTTGTGTGAAGTATCTGAGTATTGTACTGTCTGTTTGTATGGAGCATTGTACTGTCAGTTTGTGTGGAGTATTGTACTGACGGTTTGTGTGGAGTATTGTACTGACGGTTTGTGTGGAGTATTGTACTGTCAGTTTGTTTGAAGTATTGTACTGTCAGTTTGTGTAAAGTATTGTACTGTCAGTTTGTGTGGAGTATTGTACTGTCAGTTTGTTTGAAGTATTGTACTGACAGTTTGTGTGGAGTATTGTACTGTCGGTTTGTGTGGAGTATTGTACTGTCAGTTTGTTTGAAGTATTGTACTGACAGTTTGTGTGGAGTATTGTACTGTCGGTTTGTGTGGAGTATTGTACTGTCAGTTTGTTTGAAGTATTGTACTGTCAGTTTGTGTAAAGTATTGCACTGTCAGTTTGTGTGGAGTATTGTACTGTCAGTTTGTTTGAAGTATTGTACTGACAGTTTGTGTGGAGTATTGTACTGTCAGTTTGTTTGAAGTATTGTACTGACAGTTTGTGTGGAGTATTGTACTGTCAGTTTGTTTGAAGTATTGTACTGACAGTTTGTGTGGAGTATTGTACTGTCGGTTTGTGTGGAGTATTGTACTGTCAGTTTGTTTGAAGTATTGTACTGTCAGTTTGTGTAAAGTATTGTACTGTCAGTTTGTGTGGAGTATCTGAGTATTGTACTGTCTGTTTGTATGGAGCATTGTACTGTCAGTTTGTTTGAAGTATTGTACTGACAGTTTGTGTGGAGTATTGTACTGTCAGTTTGTTTGAAGTATTGTACTGTCTGTTTGTGTGGAGTATTGTACTGTCGGTTTGTGTAAAGTATTGTACTGTCAGTTTGTGTGGAGTATTGTACTGTCAGTTTGTTTGAAGTATTGTACTGTCTGTTTGTATGGAGTATTGTACTGTCAGTTTGTGTAAAGTATTGTACTGTCAGTTTGTGTGGAGTATTGTACTGTCAATATGTGTGGGGTATTGTACAGTCAGTATGTGTGGAGTATTGTACTGTTAGTTTGTGTGGAGTATTGTACTGTCAGTATGTGTGGAGTATTGTACTGTCAGTATGTGTGGAGTATTGTACTGTTAGTTTGTGTGGAGTATTGTACTGTCAGTATGGGTGGGGTATTGTACTGTTAGTATGTGTGGAGTATTGTACTGTCTGTGTGTGTGGAGTATTGTACTGTCGGTTTGTGTAAAGTATTATACTCTCGGTTTGTGAAGAATGTTGTACTGTCGGTTTTTGTGGAGTGTTGTTCTGTCTGTTTGTGTGAAGTTTTGTACTGACAGTTTGTGTGGAGTATTGTACTGTCGGTTTGTGTGGAGTACTGTACTGTTGGTTTGTGTGAAGTATTGTACTGTCAGTTTGTGTGAAGTATTGTACTGTCAGTATGTGTGGAGTATTGTACTGTTAGTTTGTGTGAAGTATTGTACTGTCAGTTTGTGTGGAGTATAGTACTGTCAGTTTATGTGGAGTATAGTACTGTCAGTTTGTGTGGAGTATTGTACTGTCCAATATTTTGTTAATTCTTATTATCCCTTTAATGTATCATTACACACTGTACAGATATGAAAAATAAAAAAAGAACACCATATCTTCCTACTATACTGGGTGGTAATTTTACTTACTTTGAAGTTATAGAGATGAGAAAACAATAAAACAATATTGTCAAGATATTTCCCCTCCAAATCTTCCCATGATGCTTTTAATTTCCATGCTAACTGCTGAATAAACAAGCCACCTAAAATATAGTAAAATAAATGGGGAATGTGTCCATGTGACACAGATGATGCCCCCGCTTGCATATCATATAAAGTTATAAAGGGACATAACTAAAGAACGGTAAAAGTGACACCACCGAAATTCAAAATTGATCTGTATTTTGTGGTAATAAGCATTGTGTATCAGTTTCATAACATTTGGTTGAGGCAAACTAAAGTTACAGAACGGAAACGAAAAATTCAGCGATTTTTCCATTTGTAAAGGGACATAACTCTAGAACAGTTAAAGTGATGCCACCAAAATTCAATCTAGATCTGTATTTTGTGGTAATAAGAATTGTGTATAAGTTTCATAACATTTGGTTGAGGCTAACTTGAGTTAGAGAACGGAAACGAAAAATTCAGCAATTTTTCCATTTGTAAAGGGCATAACTCTAGAACGGTTAAAGTGACACCACCAAAATTCACACTTGATCTGTGTTTTGTGGTAATAAGCATTGTGTATAAGTTTCATAACATTTGATTGAGGCAAACTAAAGAAGGAGAAAGGAAACATAAATTTAAGAATTTTTTCCATTTGTAAAGGGGCATAACTCTAAAACGGTTAAAGTGACGCCACCAAAAGTCAAACTTGATCTGTGTTTTGTGGTAAGAAGCATTTTGTACTTTTATAAATTTTGACTTGGATGGAGAGTTGTCTCATTGGCACTCATACCACATCTTCTTATATCCTGTTCCTTTCTAGTTTGACTAGACATTTTTTACTTTAAACTTGTCATTTTCAGAAACATTTAATAAAACACACTTAATTTTCTGCATTCTACTCCCTTTTTAAATTACAGGATTACTTAATCTTGCATTTTCTTTTTCTGAAAATGTTCACTCTTGAAGGTCATATTAAGCTATGTTCAATGGTGAAGGTCATCTTCAGCTATGTTTACTGTTGAAGGTCATCTTTGACTATATTCATTGTTGAAGGTCATCTTTAACTTTTTTCATTCTTAAAGGTCATATTTAGCTATGTTCATGTTGAGTCTATAACATTGATGTTAAAGCCATCATACCTCTTTTATTGGTAGTAAATTACAAATTCAATATATTTCAACTTTACAGACTTCTTTTAACAGTAAGATATTATTCAAAACAAAAAATATTTACAATATATTTCAGCAAGACAGACTTGAACAAGAGACCATTATAAAAATTTTCCATCTTACCAACTTCCATTCCTACGTTATTATTTAGTATTGCAACCAACATCATCAGTTCCATAGCTAATCTCTCAGGCGTGACCATACTTGACACAGTCGACTCCATGATGATATCTCTTAACGATTCATTCACATCTCCTCGACTGTTTGTTGTATAAATTGTCTCTATCTGTGAGATGATGGGACCCATGTTAGCCTCACTTGTCCTGAATAAATATAAAACAATGAAAGACCAAATCCTGTATTTTGATCGGTTGATGTTTGAGTCTTGAGTACAATAATCGTAGTCCACAGTTTTATGATAATAAGCCCAGGTCTCAATCTATGAAATGATGGGACCCATTCATGCTTCACTCGCCCTGACAAATACAAATCTGTTAATAAATATCTACAAATACCCAGCCTTGCAGTCATAATAATTTTGTGAGATGATTGTAGCCATGCATGAATCAAATGATAAATATCTCCTATTGGATCTGTTACTTTTTACCATTTAAATATTTTTTTTTTCAATGACCTGAAACTTGTACAAAATAGAAGGATCTGTTTCAGTTTAATGTTTGCAGATTAGAGGCTTGTAAGTGCATGTGTCAATTTCCTGGCATATTTTACTAAATATCACAATGTCAAAAAATCTTATAATCCTTATAACAACTACACCTTAATATCAAGAATTATATATATATTTTCCCCTCTTTCTTGACCCTTACATCTAATAAGGGACCAGTAGATAAGAATTACATATCTTTTTTGTACTCTCTCATATTTATATCTAATAAGAAACCAGTGGATAAATAGTCCTAATTAAAAGTTCACCTGTTAATTAAACCTTTTAACTGTTTCTTAAGTCTTTCCATTTTTAACTTTTTCTTTTCATCCATGGTGTCTGCCATTGCCAACCTCTTTGCTGGTGGTATATATGAGCCTGTTGCCATAGTTACTACATTGCCCTCTGAATCTCTCAGTCTACCATAAATGTCTTCTTTTAACTTTGATTCTGGCTTGTCTCCCTTTTTGTGATGTAATTTTGTTACTGCCTCAATGTCACTGTTTCCTTCTGAGAGAACATCATCACTTTCATTGCTGTCAGTTTCCTCTTGTGAATGCTTTAATTTTCTGTTTAAAATCTTTTCATCCTCACTTTCATCATGATCAAGATTGTGTAAATCTTCTTCATCATCTTCACTTAAATTCTGAACATCTAAATTTTCATCTTCCTCATCTTCATCCACATCTTTATCATCATCACTTAAATTCTCATCAACATCATCTAAATTTTCATCTTCGTCAGAGAAATCATCCTCTACATCTGCCTCTCCCTCATCATTGTCCTCATAGAATTTTACATTTGATAATGTTTTATCTTTCTTTACAGTTTTAGAAGTTTTTAAAATTGATTTAGCCTCTGATTTTTTCAAATGTGACATTATTTCATCAATAGCTTTTTTCTTTTGTTGATCATCCTCAACATCATCTGACTTTTTATCGTCCATCTCATCACTAACTTCCTGGTCACTGTTACTTTCATCTATATTCCCTGAAGAAATGGAGGAAAAAAACTTTAATATTGAAGCAAGACATTGGTAGATAGATGTTTAATAAAAATTTAGGAATAAAGACCTAGAATTATAGGTCAAAGTACGGCCTTCAACAGGGAGCCTTAAGCTATCATATATACTGTATCTGTAACAAAGGACAGTTCAATGAAAGAAAAAGAAAAACTAAATAACTAAAAATGCAAACAAGTTTAGGATGAAAATAATTGTGGTTGAAAAACTAATGGTATAATTTCTGTACCAACAACACATACTCTTAATATGTTCATACTTTCTGGAATTCAGTGTTCATGGCAGATATTTGAAAGACTTTATTTATTTACAAAGGTGTTAGTTAAAGCTTGATATTTGTCTCATGGTGAGGACGGTATGTAGAACTCTAGATGTCTTTGGTTCTATGTGTCATTGACTTATCTCATGTTGAGGAAGGTATGTAGACCTCCAGATATCTTTGGTTCTATGTGCCATCGACTTGTCTCATGTTGAGGACAGTATGAAGACCTCCAGATGTCTTTGGTTCTGGAGTCAGAAATATGCAGAAAAATTAGTATATAACATTCTCTTAAATTGTTAATCAAATTATATGACTTATATATTGTACAGTTACTGTCATTGTTTTGCACATGAATAAGGCAGTTAGTTTTGTCAATTTGGGGTTTTTTAAACGATATGGGTTTTGGTCATTGTCCAAGGCCATAATGTGACCTACAATTGCTACAATTGCTATCTTCTACATTATTTGGTCTCTGTTGGAGAGTTGTCCCATTGGCAATCTGGTCTCTGGTAGAGAGTTGTCCCATTTGCAATCATACCACATTTTTTTTTTATATCTGACAAGTATGCCACCTTATCACTTGAAGATAAATTTGAATCAAACATTACAATAAAATATAGGTTGAGTTTGACATTACCTGATGTAGCTTCATCCTCAATGTCAGAATCCTCGTACAAGGCTGATACTTTGTCTTTATCCACTACATCTAATAAATCTATATTTACTGTTAAGGTTCATTCACATGGTCATGGAATATTTTTTTCAATAAAACACCAAATGTCATATAAACTTATAAAATATTGGAATAACTGACCTTTTGTTAACCTGGCATGACAATATTATCTGGCTTGTTGACATATTTTGACCATGGTCAATGAGGGAACAACACAAAATACAATAATTCAAGAACCAAAATAGATGCAGAAGCCAAGTTGTGTGAACTATATGGATTTGAATAAAAGAAACACAATTTGTAGTATGGTACTATTTTAGCATTTGTGCTAATTTTCAAATGGTTCTTGTCTAAAATGGAAGTGGCTGCACTTGTGTTCAGTCTTAATATTTAAATATATGTTGTATTTGATGATAATACATAACATATATAAGGGTTGAGACTGAACAGGAATGCGGCCACTTCCATTTTAGACAAATACGGTTTGAAAAGTGATGTTTTGTGGCATATTTGAGAGATTTTTCATAATTAAGCTTGAACTTGAGCGTCTTTAATGACCAAACCAGTTCAAATCTTTTACATAAACTAATTGAATCAACTGAAGTTGACACTTAAGTGTTTAAAAAATGTCAAAAATCTTTCATCAGATGTACTTCAAATTTTAGGCCAAAGTTAGCCCTTACCAGACCTTCTCCTATACCAATAACAGCTGTGACCTTGACCAATTGGCCCTGCAATCAATATGGGTGTTCCTCATCCGATAAGGCATTATCAAACCATAGTTGGTAAAAGTTGGACATATGATTAATAAAAAAAAATCATCTGGAAACTAAAATATTGCCCAAATTGTTGCATTGACCTCTGGTTTTGTAAGTTTTTTGTGTAGTGTTTTGTTGACTACATCGTTTTTATTTTACCAATGATGTCTGGTTTTTATTTTACCAATGATGTCTGGTTATTATTTCACCAATGATGTCTGGTTATTATTTTACCAATGATGCCTGGTTATTATTTTACCAATGATGCCTGGTTATTATTTTACCAATGATGCCTGGTTATTATTTTACCAATGATGTCTGGTTTTTATTTTACCAATGATGTCTGGTTTTTATTTTACCAATGATGTCTGGTTTTTATTTTACCAATGATGTCTGGTTATTATTTCACCAATGATGTCTGGTTATTATTTCACCAATGATGTTTGGTTATTATTTTACCAATGATGTCTGGTTTCTATTTTACCAATGATGTCTGGTTTTTATTTTTTTATTTCACCAATGATGTCTGGTTTTTATTTTACCAATGATGTTTGGTTATTATTTTACCAATGATGTCTGGTTATTATTTCACCCATGATGTCTGGTTATTATTTCACCAATGATGTCTGGTTTCTATTTTACCAATGATGTCTGGTTTTTATTTTACCAATGATGTCTGGTTTTTATTTTACCAATGATGTCTGGTTTTTATTTTTTATTTCACCAATGATGTCTGGTTATTATTTTACCAATGATGTCTGGTTATTATTTCACCAATGATGTCTGGTTTTTATTTTACCAATGATGTCTGGTTTTTATTTTACCAATGATGTCTGGTTTTTATTTTACCAATGATGTCTGGTTTTTATTTTTTTATTTCACCAATGATGTCTGGTTATTATTTTACCAATGATGTCTGGTTATTATTTCACCAATGATGTCTGGTTTTTATTTTACCAATGATGTCTGGTTTTTATTTTACCAATGATGTCTGGTTTTTATTTTACCAATGATGTCTGGTTATTATTTTACCAAAGATGTCTGGTTATTATTTTACCAATGATGTCTGGTTTTTATTTTACCAATGATGTCTGGTTTTTATTTTACCAATGATGTCTGGTTATTATTTTACCAAAGATGTCTGGTTATTATTTTACCAATGATGTCTGGTTATTATTTTACCAATGATGTCTGGTTATTATTTCACCAATGATGTCTGGTTATTATTTTACCAATGATGTCTGGTTATTATTTTACCAATGACGTCTGGTTTTTTTCTGCTTGTCATGTATTGTAAATTCATACATTTTTGCATTTATTTATCATTGTGATTATTGATTAAATTTGCAAAAATTTCTAAATTTACAGTATATAAAGAAACTTACCTTATATAAAGTATATATCTATTGTTAACATTCTAAATCAAAAGATACAATCCAAGCCATCATTTAAAAATGACTGTGGCAGAGTTTTACTCTTTCTCTTATTCAAATGAAGTTGTTTAGACAACTGCTTTAACATTTTCTCTTCTCTTTGAATGGCAGCAAGCATATCTTCTTTTTTCATCTCTTCTTCCTAGAATAAATAATCATGTTTCAATGGCCATTCAATATAACTGTAAATATTCCTTATCTGAACTTCAAACCAAATAAATACCATATTTTGAAGAAGTCTATACCTAAGCACTTGCTCTTTTGTGTGTTTGCTTTACACTATCATTTAGTTTTACCTTCTCCAAGTTCTGTAAAGTGCTTTATTTTAGCAGGGTTTAAATGATTTAATGAATAATTGATAGTAAAAAGACTTCTTTGTCAAATGTTCTTTTAAAATAACTAGGTTGTCTCATTAGCCATCATGCAGCATCTCCTTATGTTCATATTAGCAATTTTCTTTACTGCTGATGAAGTGAGACAGTGTACTATATACAGAAATAATGCAGTAAATAAAATCAAACACATTAGGAACAGTATTCATTGGTACTAAATATCCTTGTATTGTTTTAACAGTAAAAAGTTGTTATCCCACACTATAATGACCAATAAAGCATTCTGACCAATAACATTCTAACCATTTTCAATTTTTCTTTCTTTTTTTCTTTTGATTTTTTCTTCTTTTTCTTAAGCTTTTCCAAATTTTTCTGTTTTCTTTCAATCTTTTCTTCTTCTTTCTTTTTCTTTAACTGATCTTCTACTTTTGGCATCTACAACAGTATAATGAAATGTTAATATGAGTTGTTAACATTTAGTTAAATGATCTTTACAAAAGGTGATGGTATTAAAAGTAATTTTCTATGAACCTCAACATTGATAAATCAAAGGCCTTTACAAAAGGTGATGATATTAAATGTCATTTTCTATGAACCTCAACATTGATAGATCAATGACCTTAACAAAAGGTGATGGTATTAAATGTCATTTAATTTTCTATGAACCTCAACATTGATAGATCAAAGACCTTTACAAAAGGTGATGATATCAAATGTCATTTTCAATGAACCTCAACATTGATAAATCAAAGGCCTTTACAAAAGGTGATGATATCAAATGTCATTTTCTATGAATCTCAACATTGATAGATCAATGACCTTAACAAAAGGTGATGGTATTGAATGTCATTTAATTTTCTATGAACCTCAACATTGTTAGATCAAAGACCTTTACAAAAGGTGATGATATCAAATGTCATTTTCTATGAACCTCAACATTGATAGATCAAAGGCCTTCACAAAAGGTGGTGGTTTAAAAAGTCATTTTCAATGAACCTCAACATTGATAAATCAAAGGCCTTTACAAAAGGTGATGATATAAAATGTCATTTTCTATGAACCTCAACATTGATAGATCAATGACCTTAACAAAAGGTGATGGTATTAAATGTCATTTAATTTTCTATGAACCTCAACATTGACAGATCAAAGACCTTTACAAAAGATGATGATATCAAATGTGATTTTCTATGAACCTCAACATTGATAGATCAAAGGCCTTTACAAAAGGTGGTGGTATCAAAAGTCATTTTCAATGAACCTCAACATTGATAGATCAAAGACCTTTACAAAAGGTGATGATATCAAATGTCATTTTCTATGAACCTCAACATTGATAGATCAAAGGCCTTTACAAAAGGTGATGGTATTAAATGTCATTTTCTATGAACCTCAACATTGATAAATCAAAGGCCTTTACAAAAAGTGATGAAATTAAATGTCATTTTCTATGAACCTCAACATTGATAGATCAATGACCTTAACAAAAGGTGATGGTTTTAAATGTTATTTTCAATGAACCTCAACATTGATAAATCAAAGGCCTTTACAAAAAGTGATGAAATTAAATGTCATTTTCTATGAACCTCAACATTGATAGATCAATGACCTTAACAAAAGGTGATGGTATTAAATGTCATTTAATTTTCTAAGAACCTCAACATTGAAAGATCAAAGACCTTTACAAAAGATGATGATATCAAATGTAATTTTCTATGAACCTCAACATTGATAGATCAAAGGCCTTTACAAAAGGTGGTGGTTTTAAAAGTCATTTTCAATGAACCTCACCATTGATAGATCAAAGACCTTTACAAAAGGTGATGGTATTAAATGTCATTTTCTATGAACTTGAAAATTGATAGATCAAAGGCCTTTACAAAAGATGATGATATCTAATGTCATTTTCTATGAACCTGAACATTGATAGATCAAAGGCCTTTACAAAAGGTGATGGTATTAAATGTTATTTTCTATGAACTTGAACATTGATAGATCAAAGGCCTTTACAAAAGATGATGATATCAAATATCATTTTCTATGAACCTGAACATTGGTAGATCAAAGGCCTTTACAAAAGGTGATGGTATTTAATGTCATTTTCTATGAACTTGAACATTGATAGATCAAAGGCCTTTACAAAAGATGATATCAAATGTAATTTTCTATGAACCTCAACATTGATAGATCAAAGGCCTTTACAAAAGGTGGTGGTATTAAATGTCATTTTCTATGAACCTCAACATTGACAGATCAAAGACCTTTACAAAAGGTGATGATATCAAATGTCATTTTCTATGAACCTCAAAATTGATAGATCAAAGACCTTTACAAAAGGTGATGATATCAAAAATTAATTTTCTATGAACCTCAACATAAATACATTGTAGATCAAAGATTTTTACAAAAGGTGATGGTATTAAATGTCATTATCTATGAACCTCAAGATTGATAGATCAAAGGCCTTTACAAAAGATGATGATATCTAATGTCATTTTCTATGAACCTGAACATTGATAGATCAAAGGCCTTTACAAAAGGTGATGGTATTAAATGTCATTTTCTATGAACTTGAACATTGATAGATCAAAGGCCTTTACAAAAGATGATGATATCAAATGTCATTTTCTATGAACCTGAACATTGATAGATCAAAGGCCTTTACAAAAGGTGATGGTATTAAATGTCATTTTCTATGAACTTGAACATTGATAGATCAAAGGCCTTTACAAAAGATGATGATATCTAATGTCATTTTCTATGAACTTGAACATTGATAGATCAAAGGCCTTTACAAAAGGTGATGGTATAAAATGTCATTTTCTATGAACCTCAACATTGATAGATCAAAGGCCTTTACAAAAGGTGATGGTATTAAATGTCATTTTCTATGAACTTGAACATTGATAGATCAAAGGCCTTTACAAAAGGTGATGGTATTAAATGTCATTTTCTATGAACCTCAACATTGATAGATCAAAGGCCTTCACAAAAGGTGGTGGTTTTAAAAGTTATTTTCAATGAACCTCAACATTGATAAATCAAAGGCCTTTACAAAAGGTGATGAAATTAAATGTCATTTTCTATGAACCTCAACATTGATAGATCAATGACCTTAACAAAAGGTGATGGTATTAAATGTCATTTAATTTTCTATGAACCTCAACATTGAAAGATCAAAGACCTTTACAAAAGATGATGATATCAAATGTAATTTTCTATGAACCTCAACATTGATAGATCAAAGGCATTTACAAAAGGTGGTGGTTTTAAAAGTCATTTTCAATGAACCTCAACATTGAAAGATCAAAGGCCTTTACAAAAGATGATGATATCAAATGTCATTTTCTATGAACCTCAAAATTGATAGATCAAAGACCTTTACAAAAGGTGATGGTATTAAATGTCATTTTCTATGAACTTGAAAATTGATAGATCAAAGGCCTTTACAAAAGATGATGATATCTAATGTCATTTTCTATGAACCTGAACATTGATAGATCAAAGGCCTTTACAAAAGGTGATGGTATTAAATGTCATTTTCTATGAACTTGAACATTGATAGATCAAAGGCCTTTACAAAAGATGATGATATCAAATGTCATTTTCTATGAACCTCAACATTGGTAGATCAAAGGCCTTTACAAAAGGTGATGGTATTAAATGTCATTTTCTATGAACTTGAACATCGATAGATCAAAGGCCTTTACAAAAGATGATGATATCAAATGTAATTTTCTATGAACCTCAACATTGATAGATCAAAGGCCTTTACAAAAGGTGGTGGTATTAAATGTCATTTTCTATGAACCTCAACATTGACAGATCAAAGACCTTTACAAAAGGTGATGATATCAAATGTCATTTTCTATGAACCTCAAAATTGATAGATCAAAGACCTTTACAAAAGGTGATGATATCAAAAATTAACTTTCTATAAACCTCAACATAGATACATTGTAGATCAAAGATTTTTACAAAAGGTGATGGTATTAAATGTCATTATCTATGAACCTCAACATTGATAGATCAAAGGCCTTTACAAAAGGTGATGGTATTAAATGTCATTTTCTATGAACCTCTAAATTGATAGCTCAAAGACCTTTACAAAAGGTGATGGTATTAAATGTCATTTTCTATGAACTTGAACATTGATAGATCAAAGGCCTTTACAAAAGATGATGATATCTAATGTCATTTTCTATGAACCTGAACATTGATAGATCAAAGGCCTTTACAAAAGATGATGATATCAAATGTAATTTTCTATGAACCTCAACATTGATAGATCAAAGGCCTTTACAAAAGGTGGTGGTATTAAATGTCATTTTCTATGAACCTCAACATTGACAGATCAAAGACCTTTACAAAAGGTGATGATATCAAATGTCATTTTCTATGAACCTCAAAATTGATAGATCAAAGACCTTTACAAAAGGTGATGATATCAAAAATTAACTTTCTATAAACCTCAACATAGATACATTGTAGATCAAAGATTTTTACAAAAGGTGATGGTATTAAATGTCATTATCTATGAACCTCAACATTGATAGATCAAAGGCCTTTACAAAAGGTGATGGTATTAAATGTCATTTTCTATGAACCTCTAAATTGATAGCTCAAAGACCTTTACAAAAGGTGATGGTATTAAATGTCATTTTCTATGAACTTGAACATTGATAGATCAAAGGCCTTTACAAAAGATGATGATATCTAATGTCATTTTCTATGAACCTGAACATTGATAGATCAAAGGCCTTTACAAAAGGTGATGATATCAAATGTCATTTTCTATGAACATGAACATTGATAGATCAAAGGCTTTTACAAAAGGTGATGGTATTAAATGTCATTTTCTATGAACTTGAACAATGAAAGATCAAAGGCCTTTACAAAAGATGATGATATCAAATGGTATTTTCTATGAACCTCAACATTGATAGATCAAAGGCCTTTACAAAAGGTGGTGGTATTAAATGTCATTTTCTATGAACCTCAAAATTGATAGATCAAAGACCTTTACAAAAGGTGATGATATCCAAAAATTAATTTTCTATGAACCTCAACATAGATACATTGTAGATCAAAGATTTTTACAAAAGGTGATGGTATTAAATGTCATTATCTATGAACCTCAAGATTGATAGATCAAAGGCCTTTACAAAAGGTGATGGTATTAAATGTCATTTTCTATGAACTTGAACATTGATAGATCAAAGGCCTTTACAAAAGGTGATGATATCAAATGTCATTTTCTATGAACCTCAAAATTGATAGATCAAAGACCTTTACAAAAGGTGAAGGTATTAAATGTCATTTTCTATGAACTTGAACATTGATAGATCAAAGGCCTTTACAAAAGATGATGATATCTAATGTCATTTTCTATGAACCTGAACATTGATAGATCAAAGGCCTTTACAAAAGGTGAT